CATATGACCCAAATATCCTCCGCTCGTGAACGGCAATGGCAATCAAGTCAAAACAAACAGTTCCAAATACCAGTCATAAATCACAGCATCTGTCAAATAAAGACATTCGGCCTTAATGTCTAATTACAAGCTTAGCGATTATGATGTACAAAGCAAAATCAATTTAGCCTGTCATATCAAAGTGATATCCAATTGCTTGGACGTCATTAATATAAAACAAATATTAAGGAATATCATTTGACTTTGGCAAGACAAAGCTAATGCGAACACTGTCAAAATGGAAAGGCCTCAATTGTGTTCATATTATCGTTACAGACTAAAAGCTTAAATGAATTTAATTACTTTAAAATCGTAATAAATGGAATTGCATTAATTTGGGATACGACGAATTCCATGAAACTTGCAATATTGTATACAAATTAATTAAAAATACTGTCGAATATGCGGAACCTTTCGGTTTGGACATATTAAGCAAGTAAATACAATTCAAAAATTAAACGGACCAATTATATGATACCATTCTCCACTTAGGGTTCATACAAGGGATGCTTTTATGTAAATATCCTGCCGATAGAACAGACATAGCATCTTTGAACGACTACTAAAATGGGGCGAAATTATATCATTCTGAAATCTATGTAATATTACATGTTAGTCCGAAAGCCTTTTATACTATTTTTTTTCTTTTGATTCAATTTTCTTCCAATTTTTGACAAATGTTGGCCGATATCTTTGTGTGGGTTTTTGAGTGCTCAAGAGTTGAATGTTTATCCACAAACCACTATCTTTCGGTTCTATATTAAAGATGTAGGACATTTGGTAAGAAGAAAAACTAAGAAAACTCCAAATTCTTTTTCGTTGATATAAAACAAGTAAAAACGATTTTAATTTCGGCCCGGGCGAACTTTTTATACCCTCCACCATGAGGAAGACAATCAAAATAAATAAGATCTATATATAAATGGAGCAACCGTGGCATCCACCATTTGGTATGCTGCAACACAATGCGGTATTCAAAATTTATCTCGACACAAAATCCAATGCCAGTTTTTCTAGGTTCGACTTGGTACGTTGTACACCAATTCGTCCTAAGCGGACAAACTTTAGTTATTTGGTACATAATTTCGATGAAATCGGATGAAAATCTATATGGAAGCTATATCAATCCAATACACTATGAAATATTTCATGTAAAGCGAACAGACATAGGCTTCTCCATTTGCACCATCTGAGGGAGTTATATCTACATCTAAACATATTTCAAGAACAATATAAACATATTTCGTGCTAATAAAACAGGTTGTATGGTGCACTATAAACATAAAATGGGAGTAAAGTATATATGTGAGCTATATTTAAATCTGAACCGATTTCAAACTTAACCAAACCATTCTTGACTAAATTCCATACCCGCTGTAAAACTTCGTGAATATAGAACAAACATAGACTCATGTGGGCGCCATGCATATAAAATCGGACGAAAATATGGGAGCTATATCTAAATATGAACATATTTAAACAAAACTTCACGGATGTCAACCTGCTATAACTTCAATACGGTATGCAAAATTTTGTCTCAATCGAACAAACATTGACAGTATGGTGCATCATTTACATAAAATCGGACGAAACTATAAATGGGAGCTATACCTAAATCTGAACCGATTTTCTCCAATTTCAATAGGGTTCTTCCTTGGGCTAAATAAGTGACATGTGCCAAATTTCATACAAATCGGATCATAAATGCGACCTGTACTTTGTACACAAAAATAAATGGACGGACGGACGGACAGACAGACGGACATGCATTAATCGACTCAGAAAGTGATTCTATTCATATTCTCAAAAGGAATCATGGATCTATCTCGATTCCTTTTGCCTGTTACAAATATATGTACAAGGACATAATACCGTGTACCACAGTGTGGTGAAGGGTAAAAATGATTGACATTCTCAAAATATCTAATAGTGGGGGCTACCGTTACATGGGGCTAAAATAAAACGGGGGTAAAATATTGATATTTTTTGTAGCGAAATGTGACAGCCAATGTGAATACAAAATTACAAACACATTCGGTTGAAAAGTGTCAAAAATTCTCAAAATACCGAGTTGGGTCAGTATAAATAATTTTTAGTGCGGAGATAAATTGATACCGATATGATAACCCAAGTACCAAATTAGAGCCAATTTGATTGAAAAACAAAAATCCCCATATTAGAGGGTACCATATTATGGGGCTTAGCGAGGATCAATATTAAATATTTTTTTTTTTGTACGGAATGTGATACAGCCGAAATATTGTATTGTAGGGGGTAACGGAACCCCCTATGATGGCTAACCTGAAACTTGGATCAATATTAATAATTTTTTTGCAGGGATAAGTGTTATTCAATGAGAACCCAAAATACCAAATTACAGCCAATTCGGTTTGAAAACCTGTCCAAAATCCCGAATATCTGGGTAGCCTTGGTCACGGAATGACAAATTTAATATACACTCCATCTTTTGGAGGAGGATATAAAAATAGAGTGGGCACTTTTTTGAGGAACCAATTATTCGATAGCCGCTTAATTGAACTGCTTGTTAAATTACAGAAATCACGCGTAATTGGACGAAATTAATTTCTAATCTCATTGTCAAATACAAATTAAAAACTTAACCTTTTCGCGGGTTTTCCTTAGCAGTAAACGTATGTTTTCAACTATTAGAGCTAGTGCTAGAGCGGAGCCGACCATATGATACCCATATGATACAACTTCAACGAAAATCTAACATTCGGTGGTACTACATTCTGAGCTTGGGCAATACTTCGCGGTATTTGCACTCTCTTGACGACTAGAGGTCAACAAATATTATTATTACCAATATTCAGTACAGCCCTTCTAATTACTTGTCCAGATTTCCTTCACCGTGGGTTGTGTTGTAATGTTCGGCTTTCAATTGCGGTCTATAGATCGACTCAAAAAAAAAAACACAACAAAAAAAATTCGGTCCACTTCATCCCAAAATATCTGATCATCACCGAAAATTATAGGCGTTGCCCTTGGCCATACCTGGATCCTCATAGAATTTTTCAAAGCGATCCGCGCTATATTTCCGCCATCTAGTGTGGTAATGACTTACTACATACTATATGAATACGTAAGCACCGTAAATATTTAAGTGTAACTTCACATCCGAGTACATACGACAATGTAATTGGTATCAAACCACTCCTCTTGGATATACTATCAACTTCCTGGGTATATATCCTTCAGGCGAAAATAAAGGGTGATTTTTTTGAGGTTAGGATTTTCATGCATTAGTATTTGACAGATCACGTGGGATTTCAGACATGGTGTCAAAGAGAAAGATGCTCAGTATGCTTTGACATTTCATCATGAATAGACTTACTAACAAGCAACGCTTGCAAATCATTGAATTTTATTACCAAAATCAGTGTTCGGTTCGAAATGTGTTTCGCGCTTTACATCCGATTTATGGTCTACATAATCGACCAAGTGAGCAAACAATTACTGCGATTGTGACCAAAGATCTTGGTGTAAAACCGTATTAAATACAGCTCGTGCAAGAACTGAAGCCGAACGATCTGCCACAACGTCGAATTTTCAGTGAATTTTCAGAAAAGTTGGCAGAAAATTCGCTTTTTTATCGACAAATTTTGTTCAGCGATGAGGCTCATTTCTGGTTGAATGGCTACGTAAATAAGCACAATTGCCGCATTTGGAGTGAAGAGCAACCAGAAGCCTTTCAAGAACTGCCCATGCATCCCGAAAAATGCACTGTTTGGTGTGGTTTGTACGCTGGTGGAATCATTGGACCGTATTTTTTCAAAGATGCCGTTGGACGCAACGTTACGGTGAATGGCGATCGCTATCGTTCGATGCTAACATACTTTTTGTTGCCAAAAATGGAAGAACTGAACTTGGTTGACATGTGGTTTCAACAAGATGGCGCTACATGCCACACAGCTCGCGATTCTATGGCCATTTTTGAGGGAAAACTTCGGAGAACAATTCATCTCAAGAAATGGACCGGTAAGTTGGCCACCAAGATCATGCGATTTGACGCCTTTAGACTATTTTTTGTGGGGCTACGTCAAGTCTAAAGTCTACAGAAATAAGCCAGCAACTATTCCAGCTTTGGAATACAACATTTCCGAAGAAATTCGGGCTATTCCGGCCGAAATGCTAGTCTCTTGACGACTAGAGGTCAACAAATATTATTATTACCAATATTCAGTACAGCCCTTCTAATTACTTGTCCAGATTTCCTTCACCGTGGGTTGTGTTGTAATGTTCGGCTTTCAATTGCGGTCTATAGATCGACTCAAAAAAAAAACACAACAAAAAAAATTCGGTCCACTTCATCCCAAAATATCTGATCATCACCGAAAATTATAGGCGTTGCCCTTGGCCATACCTGGATCCTCATAGAATTTTTCAAAGCGATCCGCGCTATATTTCCGCCATCTAGTGTGGTAATGACTTACTACATACTATATGAATACGTAAGCACCGTAAATATTTAAGTGTAACTCTCACATCCGAGTACATACGACAATGTAATTGGTATCAAACCACTCCTCTTGGATATACTATCAACTTCCTGGGTATATATCCTTCAGGCGAAAATAAAGGGTGATTTTTTTGAGGTTAGGATTTTCATGCATTAGTATTTGACAGATCACGTGGGATTTCAGACATGGTGTCAAAGAGAAAGATGCTCAGTATGCTTTGACATTTCATCATGAATAGACTTACTAACAAGCAACGCTTGCAAATCATTGAATTTTATTACCAAAATCAGTGTTCGGTTCGAAATGTGTTTCGCGCTTTACATCCGATTTATGGTCTACATAATCGACCAAGTGAGCAAACAATTACTGCGATTGTGACCAAAGATCTTGGTGTAAAACCGTATTAAATACAGCTCGTGCAAGAACTGAAGCCGAACGATCTGCCACAACGTCGAATTTTCAGTGAATTTTCAGAAAAGTTGGCAGAAAATTCGCTTTTTTATCGACAAATTTTGTTCAGCGATGAGGCTCATTTCTGGTTGAATGGCTACGTAAATAAGCACAATTGCCGCATTTGGAGTGAAGAGCAACCAGAAGCCTTTCAAGAACTGCCCATGCATCCCGAAAAATGCACTGTTTGGTGTGGTTTGTACGCTGGTGGAATCATTGGACCGTATTTTTTCAAAGATGCCGTTGGACGCAACGTTACGGTGAATGGCGATCGCTATCGTTCGATGCTAACATACTTTTTGTTGCCAAAAATGGAAGAACTGAACTTGGTTGACATGTGGTTTCAACAAGATGGCGCTACATGCCACACAGCTCGCGATTCTATGGCCATTTTTGAGGGAAAACTTCGGAGAACAATTCATCTCAAGAAATGGACCGGTAAGTTGGCCACCAAGATCATGCGATTTGACGCCTTTAGACTATTTTTTGTGGGGCTACGTCAAGTCTAAAGTCTACAGAAATAAGCCAGCAACTATTCCAGCTTTGGAATACAACATTTCCGAAGAAATTCGGGCTATTCCGGCCGAAATGCTCGAAAAAGTTGCCCAAAATTGGGCTTTCCGAATGGACCACCTAAGACGCAGCCGCGGTCAACATATAAATGAAATTATCTTCAAAAAGTAAATGTCATGGACCAATCTAACGTTTCAAATAAAGAACCGATGAGATTTTGCAAATTTTATGCGTTTTTTTTTTAAAAAAAAGCTCTTAACAAATCACTCTTTATATACGTTATGGAATACAAATTTTGTAATTTTTCACACAAAAGTCGGGGTCCATTTGACCCGCTAAATATTGACCAATCTTTATCAAAACAGGCATTCTTATTCTTTGGCCCAATCCCCTTCTCCATGTAAAAATTCGCGAAGTTTGGGCCATAATTGCTGCCTCTGGAGCGACCAGAAAAGCCGACAAAAATTAAGTATTTGGTTCATTTCATCCCCTAAATATTAACCGATCTTTACCGAAAACAATAGGGGTCTTTATTGGCCCGAACCGGTCCTACACGCAAAATTTCGTGAAAATTGGTCAATAACTATGGCCTGTATCGTGTTTACAAAATATAATGGACGGACGGACGGACACAAATGTATAGATCGTCATATCTCGACTAACTGAGTCGATCTAGACTAAAGGTCTAGGATCAATATTTCGCGGCGTTGCAAACTCTTGGGGCTGCACAAAGTTATAATACCCTGACAACATAGTTGTGTAGGGTATAACTAATAAGGAAGGTAATAAAGTCGGACTGGCCCGACTATATAATACATATGTATCCTTACAGACGTCGCTCTTCGAAAGAACATTGACACGAAATTGAACGAACATAAATATATGGTCTTTATCTATCTACATTTTTGTGAACATACTAATATAAATATATACATATGCCATTCTACAACCTAGGCCAATGGTCAAATTGGAAGTTTGGTGCACCATTTGCCTAATATCGGACAAGGCATATCTAACTATGAACCAATTTCACCGAAACTTGTCAGAGATTAAGTTATATTAACTTCATTAAACGGTACGAAATTGGGTGCAATTGGACAAACTATGGCTCTTTCGCACACAACTTACATAAAAACTGAAGAAAATATATATGGAAGCTATATCTAGATCTGAACCAATTTTCACGATACTTAGCACGAATCATTCTGCACTTAATTCAGTACGCTATGCAACATTTCGCGCAAGTAAGTTTTACGAAATTTAGCACACAATATCCTCAGTAATTCAATATGATATGCCCAATTTCTTAAAAATCGAAAAATATATAGGGATTTTGGTGCACCATTTAAATAAAATATATATGGGAGCTATGTATGAATTTGAACCGATTTTTCTCAATTTCAATATTGTTCGTCGTTGGGCCGAATAAATTTGGTGTACAAAATTGCATCTAAATCAGATTATGAATGCAACCTGTACTTTGTTTACAATTTAACATCAACAGACGGACGGACGGACGGACATGCTCATACCGACTCAGAAATTTATTCTTTGCATATTCTAAAAACGAACCATAGGTCTATGAAAATGCCAGATTATTTTTCAATAATAATGCAATTAACCGTTGAAATATAAGAAGACATTTTTTATGACATGAATTTGGAACCAATTAAATGGGAAAATCAATTAACAGGGGAAATGTTCATATGTTTTCGTATGAAATATTTTTTGTCTCATCATGTGGTTCAATTAAGCGGGGAAACCAATTAACCGAAAAATACTGGTCACATCGTCATGACTAAATACATATGTCTGACAACGAAACATTAATCATTTACCAAAAATGATTAGATTTCAAAGATTTGATCCTTTCTACTTGCTTACAAGCGCTTTAGTGATATTATTTATTTGTTTTATCTTGTTCGCGTTCGCCATGAAAAGTATTTAAAAATTGGTTTCGTTTGTTTTGTTGTTGAAACAGACAAAATCAATATCTGGCTGAAACAATAAAATGGTTACAATTCAAGGTCACTGCTTGCCTCAATCTTATACGTGCCATAAAACAAGTCCATGTAATGGGTTAGGGGACTATTTCGAACGAGAAGTCTTATTTT